AGAGAGAGAGAGAGAGAGAGAGAGAGAGAGAGAGAGAGAGAGAGAGAAAAGAAACATCTGTCAAGACAGTGGTTCAGGTACAAAAATCATGGCCACAGATGAAATACTAATGTCCTATGTAAAAGCAGCAGTAGAGGGCTTGCCTAGGATTCTCAGGGCTCTGGGCTCCATACCCAGGACTGTAAAATAAGTAATAAACCACGACATTCCAAGAGGAAACTTGTTATAAGTAAAGTGAGGTGTCTGGAAGGCACAGCCTGGCCCAGGATGTGATGAAGGAGTCTAGTTATAGCAGTACTAAAAACGGGGCTTTCACTTTACTGGGAGAAGGGTCTGGGCCTTGGGATGAGTCAGGTAAAAGTAAGACCCACTGAGGACCGCTGGGAAAGCCAGTACTATTTGGTGTCTTTTTTACATTTTCATAAAGATTTGCTCACAGGACTTCTTTGTCTTAAAATCAAAAGCATAAGGTATTTTAAAAGCAGGCCTCAGGAACTGCTTAAAATAAATTATAACATGGAAACCTAAACTCAATTACCTCTAACTTACAAACTTCATTTTACCCGTAGTGACACTTCTAATAGTTCCAGCTGTCAAGGTCATGGGATACGAAGATTAGGGGACACAGGGAGGTAGTTACTGATTTATAAGGAAATGCTTGGTGACCCCAGGGCCTCACTTCCTCCAGGAATGAAGACTCAGTTTTACCTTCTAGAAATGAGTAAGGAAACTGAAGCCTTTCTAAAGCACTCACTACCTTCATTTGTTTCTTCCCTCCTTGTCCCCAGCTTGCTGAGTTGTGGGAGGAAGTGCTTCCCTGAGAGCCGGCGGTGTTCCAGACTCCTCCGTCATCCTCCTCTTCCCAGCTAGGATGGCGAGCTCCCGTGACTGGTCCATCACTCTCTCCCCAGCCGTCTTGCATAGATTTGGAATCTTTAAAGAAAGAGTGAATCAATTCTTTGCAGTAAATACATGTAACAGAGAGATTTCTTGCAAATGCAGCATTTTAATATCTTTGCAGTTTTGTCTGCTCCATCTACACGCAAGGCAAATGCATTACTCATACTTAAGAGAGAAGACAGCAGACCTTACAATCAAGATCTTTGGACTGCTTCTATGGTTCTTCCTGGAACCAAGGAGATAGTAATTTCAAAATTCAAAAACTCATCTCTATCCTAAGAGATTTCAAAATTCGGTGGTGGTGCATACCTGTAATCCCAGCACTTGGGAAACTAAGGCAGGAAGATTACCATGAATTTGAGGCTAGTATCAACTGTTTCAGACACTATCCCAAACAAATCAACAAAAGTTGTGTGTGTGTGTGTGTGTCTGTGTGTCTGTGTGAATATGAGTGAGTATGAATTTTGCATTTCATTTATAAGAGAATGGTTGCTCTTAGTGAGCATGGCTGCTGACTGTCAAGTCTTTTTTTACACTTCCAAATGTAGGTACTCAAGTAGATGTAACCAAAACACAACTGTCTACCTTGTTTGGGGCGAAGCAGAAATAAAAATGGGAATAAAAACCACAAGGCCACCTGGTGGTGGTAGTACACGCCTTCGGAACCCTGCGCTCGGGAGGCAGAGGTAGTTGGATCTCTGAGATCAAGGCCAGCTTGGTTCCAGGACAGCAAAGGCTACACAGTAAAACCCTGTCTTGAAAAAACAACCAACTAACAACAAAAAACCCCACAAGGCCATGGAGACTTGGAGCTTATTAGGTCCACAAACGTGTCTGAAATGCATTTGGTCCTGAGGAGGATCCTACATGAGGCTTTGATAAGAAAGGAGAAAAAAAATGTAGAGGGCAGAAAGGAAGAAGAGAAGAAAGACAGGATAACCAGAGAGGAAGGCGCCAGACACCAGTCTCCAGTTGGTTCTACCACCACACCCTTTTAACAAATATAGTTACTATGAAGCTTGCAAGAAAAATTCACTTCCCTCCAAAAATACTGTATGGAACTGGATTTGCCTTCATGTGGAGTGGGGAGCTGGAAAGTGGCTCTTCTCTGTCCTACTTCCAATGACTGCTGCTATCCTTAAGACCAAGGCCGATGACAGACAAGTTGCCACTTGCAAACCAAGTCTACTTACTGGGTTTCATGGCATTGGGAGCGTTGGCAGGTGTGTTTCCCCAGCCTGTGGTTGATGCTCCTGCATCATCCATTTCACCCCACCCAGGACTGCTTTCATTTGGCTCACCCCAGGCTGAAGTCCCATTATCTGGAGCAGGTGGTGTGCTTTTGCTCCAGACTGCAAAAAAGAAATGTGTGTCTTTAAGGATCTATTCAATACTTAAGATCCAGTGGAGTGAAGGAGGCAGGTACAGTTATACTTTCTTGGCAGAAACAAATTCAACCTTCATGGAGGGCATTTGGTAAAGTCACTTTCCAAAGGTCCAATGTATATGAATTCTGACCCAGTAAACTCACTGCCAGGAAAATTTACCCTAAAAAAAAATGTACTAAAGTGATGAAATTATATGTACAACAGTGTTCAATGTATTAACTCTAGAAAAAAATGGAAGCAATTTAAATATCAGAATGAAACAGGTTACACCAAGTGTGGGTAAGGTATACCTTAAATATCTACCAGAGGAGACAGGTTCATAAAACTGAGTTCATAAAATGAATTCCATATGAAAATAATTAAGCGACAGAACTGTATGTGCTACAGAAAGCTTAAATATACATGAAAAGAATGAGGATACAGCTACAGGACTATTGCCTGCCTACCAGGGAAAGGCCCTGGGATCCACTTTCAGGATCCCTGCCTCTTCCCTACTAAAAAGCTGACAAAAAAAGGACAAGATAACACTACAGAAGTACAACCCCTTCCCTGTTAAAAAGAATTAAAGCTTAGGTATATCTGTAATATGTAAGAGCAAGACTTATGAAGGAAACAAACTTCAACAGAGTTCAGTGAGAAGCCCAGAGGTAAGAGTCTCATCTATTGCCCTTGCTTTCCTGTACAGTTTGGAGTCTTCTGTGAACACAGGATCTTAAAGCACTAGGAAGTGTGATTTTGGATAAGCAGTTAAAGAGCAGCCTCTATTTCTGTCCTCATTTTTTTTTTAACACTTAAAAAAAGAATTAGTTAAAAACAGTCACTTTGCATTTTAATTAGTGTTCCTAATTATATTTACTTAAAAACTAGGTTTACTTTGAATGCTGGAAAACTTAACATTATGATTAATTTTACCTAAAACAAAACAAAACAAAACAAAACAAAAAAACAACCTAACAATCCTGAAAGACGCATTTTCTTAATTGGTGAGTCTTTTACAGGGACATTCATGCCAAACTGAGAACAGAATTAAGCACTGTTGCAACAGTTGGATTTTGGGTATTTGACTGTCCTTAGATCATCTTTGTAAGCACACTGCCTGCTACAGTCAACAATTAAGTCACTTGGAAGGAGGGAGGAATGCAGCTTGAGGTAGAGTACTTGCTAAGCATGCTCAAATCTCTGGGTTTTAGCTCTAACACTATAAAAATAACACTGTAAAATAATTTTGGAGACCCCCAACTGTCCAGATAACAGCTGAGATACAGCATTGTGACAGTCTCCAGAAGAGCACACAGAGTGCTCTCCTTTGCAGAGGAATGGAAGCACAGAGGGGCTCACAGGTAAAGCCAGGAAGAAAGAAAGTCGGTCTTTTTCTACCTTAGTTCTTTACTTTTAAACCTAGTTTGTTCTGCAAGAAATAAGCTTATTTGGTGATTTTTTTGTTTGTTATTTTAAAAATTATACAGACCAATAATATTGCAGAAAAATAATTCTGGGTAGCAAGAGTGTTGTCATCTTTTCCTTATACCAAGAAAGACCGCTGTAGTGTATGAGAGCAGGTGCCTTCTCCAGTGTACCACAGAAAAGTTCTAGGAACAAGAAAGCTGGAACTGGAGGAACAATCCTCAGAATAAGTTAAATAGATGCACCTTAACAGATAAGGCTTAGACCAGGATTTCTTTTATTTTACTAAGACCTATGAGAAAAGAGTTGGTACCTACCTGATGCTGATTTTCCGGTCATCGGGGTAGGCAGGTTTGGTTCTCGAGGTGCCGGGCCCCCTTGAGAATTCTTATCCCAAAGGTTCACATTCTTGTAGTTGTAACTGTTAGGGTCTCCCCAAGCTGAAGTGCCATCATCAATGTCCATTTTTCGACTAATTGACTGCGGGGATGGCTCCTCCCAACCACTGGGTTCATCATCCTTAGGGGTTGCAGGCTGGGGCCCACTGCTCCAGTTGGAATTAGACGGTCGAACATTGCCTTGAGGTGGTGGGGGTGGGCCTCCCCATGAACCAGATGCCTCTGGTTGTGGTGGTGGTGGCTGCTGCTGCTGCTGTTGGTGTTGTTTAGTCCAGGAATTGGGCTGTCTGCCCGTCTCATTCCACGCAGGGGATCTTTTGCAATCTTCCCACCCACCTTTTGAGGCTAGGTTTGTATTCCCACCATTACCCCAAGTTCCAATTTCATTCTGCCCTCCTTCACCCCACCCAGACACAGGCTTATTGGCAGAACTTTCCCAATTGTTATTTTTCACTTGATCAACCTCTTCACCCCAACCATTCTTCCCAGAAGTCCATCCTTGGTTGGGCTGGCGCCCACCTCCCCACCCCTGATCCTTACAAGAACTCTCATTCCAAGAGGAAGGTGTCTTTTCATCTGCTCGTCCTCCTCCCCAGTTAGAAGAGTTGTTGTTCTTATAGTCATTCCAGCCTCCTGTGCTCTTGGGGTCTTTCCACTCTGTCGAGGCTGAGAGCTCCCCCCATCCAGACTTCATTTGATTGCTTTGGCTGGGTGCATCTCCCCAGCCCCCTGAGTTCTTGGTCTGTGTGGCAGCGCTCTCCCACCCCTCAGTTCCTTTGTCAGATTTCCCCTCAGGCCTTGGCACCTCTTCAATATCCCACACTGTGTCCTGCTTAATTTGAGTTTGGCCCCAGCCAGTGTTTGAGAGCACCCTAGGGTCCAAATCAGTCCGGCTCAAAAGAGTCTGCAAGACAGCCTGGCAATCAGGATGTGTGGGCCTGTACGACCGACGACCGGAATTATGACTGTCGCTACTTCCTGCTTTATGGTTGCTTCCAGTGCTTTGACCTCCAACTTCACTTCCTGCGGAGCTGGAAGATCTTCCCCAACAGGGAGCCTGGGCATTGCCTTGGTTTTCAGGGAGGGGGTGGCCCTTTTGATTGTCCCATGCTCCAGTGCTAGAATTTGGTTGGTTTGGACCACTCCATTCTCCAATTTTCAACTCATCAGACCCAGTCGGCTGTTTCCATTCTCCCTGAGAGACCCCAGATGTTATTTTGTTCCCTTCGCCCCATTTGTTGTCATTAGAGTCCTGAGGGCCAAAGTTCCAGGACCCACCCGTAGACCTGTTATTATTGTCCCAAGAGTCACTTTTTGACCCAGTTGGTTTTGGAACAGAAGCTCCTTTCCAGGAGTCCTCTCTGTCTTTTCCATTGTTCCCATTATTTCCAGAATTGCTTTGTCCAGAGACTGTGTCAGTTCCAGAAGGCCCCCTAGCTGCACCCCAAGACCCAACACTCCCAGTCTTTCGATCTCCAGTGCTTTGTGAAGGGGTATCAGTGCTCCTGGAGGTGTTCCCCAAGCCCATTCCAAAGGGCATTCCCTTATTTTCCATCGGGTTTGGTGAACTTAAGTTCAAGGAGTTAGTGTTTCCATTTTTTGGTCCATCAGTGTTATGAATTTGAGCCTGTTCTCTGCCAGAGACAACAAAATTAACACCCGCATTTTCCATCTTTGACTGCTGTTCCCTAGATGCCTGACCTACTGTGCTAACTTGTGCACTGGAACTACTATTTTCTGTTTCCAATGCCCCTTTCCTAGACGTTCCTTCTTGAACCAACGCTGGCCAGGCAGATGGGTTGCTATTTGGGTTAAAGTTGCTGAAGCCAGAGCCAGGTCCAATTCGATCTTGACCACTTGTACTCCTCCAGTTTCCTAGTCCATTGTTGCTATCTGAAGTAGAGTTGGGAGATTGAACAGACTTAGCCTTAGGGTCAGACTTCCAGACCCCAAGATTACATTCATTCCCAGAACTTGCAGACTGGCATTGGCTCCCTTTGCCTTTGTTACTAGTGGTGCTTCCTGGCAGAGTGCTCTTCTCAGAGCCAGGGTTCGAGGCACTGTTGTTATCGGTGTTGTTTTCGGAAGAAGATTCAGTGTCTTTGCTGGCAATACAAGGCCACTCTTCCATGTCAGACCCGTCTACAATCACCTTGTCCCAGATGTGAATTGGGTTGGGGGAGGCGCCGTTGTTGGAGGAGGCTCCCGGGCCCCAAGTGGAATTTGCATAATTTGAAGCAGCAGCACCTCCAAGGGTTGACTCTGGGAAAGAGATCACCTGTTAATCACAGCTGTACATCCATATTACCAACACCTGGGGCTCCGACTGCCCTTGGAAAGCTCAGTGTATCCCCTAGACTAGCTTGTTTACTGGGTCAATTTTCTTGAGTGATTTTAGTACAGTATGTAGAGTCACCTCTTTACATAAATAAGTGTATACCCCATGTCATCGTGCCAGTGTGGAGGTCAGAGGACAATTTGTTGTAGTTGGTTCTCTCCTTCTAACATGTGGGTCTTAGGGACTGGAACTCAGGTCATTAGGCCTTTTAGGACATGCTAGAGTTTCCTCTCTGTCACTGGCTAGTACTGTATGTGCTACATCTAACTCTGTATCAGCTCTCAAAAGCTACCTACCTGCCATTCTTGCTGAAACAGAAGGACCTTCTTGTGTGTTTCTTTATTCTAACACTTGTGGCTGGAGCTGTTTCTCTAAAACACCCCTTTGGTTCTATTACTGTTCTTTGAGAGCATAATAATTCCTTAGCGCACAAAAATGCACAGCCTGTTGGTCAGTCTCAGTAAGGTGTTCTATGACCGAAGGCCAGTCAGGCCTTATCAGTTTCAGTTGTATCTTTTACAACTTTCTACAAAGACATCTACAGTCTTACTCTGGGCATCACTTTAGGCTGGTACCTACTGTTTTCTCTTCCCAAGTCCACACAGTGAAATTTATTCATCTTTTTAGACATACGTCAAGTGCCACTTTACCTATGAATCTACTTCTGAGCTTGTCACCTGAAAAAGCATCTGTCTCTAGCAAGAGCCATTTTTCTCATGTGGTAGCCCTCTGTTCACATGTTTCCTTTTCCACACTGGTCTTTTCACTGAAAACCTATCTTGTTAATGTGTGAATTCACACAGTGGCCTGTGCATTCTGCTCAGTAAGCCTTCTCCGAATGTTGAATGTCCCTTAGCTAGCTCCTGAGATATAGGAGTATGTATCAGATAGGTTTAGACTCCCAAGGGGATTAAATCTGATAAATCAGTACTGAATAGCGTATAGTTCAATGGAATGTAGCATCTCAAGTGTGTCTGAGGGGGAAAATAATGTATTTTAATGAAATTTTTTCCAAACTTATTTTTCCATTAACCAATTTTTAATTAATACAAGTTAAAAACAACACATATAAAATGAGGAAGCACAGAATCTTAACACCTTGAGGCAATGTTGGTCTTGCCTATGCTTGATGATATTCAACATCTAGTTGTTTTTCTTTAAAATTTGTTTTTAAAATTATATTTACTTATTTGTATGTGTTCTATGTGGTACATATGGAGGTCAGAGGGCAACCTCTGGGAGTCAGTCCTTTCTTTCCACTCTGTGGGTGGGCTTAAAGAAGGAACTCAGGCCACTACGCTCGGTGGCCACCACTTCTATCTGTTCAACTCCCTCTAGCTCCAACTCTAAAGTTTAATATAACCTAAAAAGACACATTAGTTTTTAAAAGGGACTGGAAACTCTTTGCTACTTAAACACTTGGTGGCACATGATCTCACAAACCTGAGGTAGGAGGATAATGGGCCTGACACTAACCTGGGCTATGCCTGAGATCCTGCTTCAAAAGACAAGACAGAAAGAACTTTCTAGACTTCTAATGAAACTCATCAGGGAAAGATCCCTCATGTCTATATTACAATGTCTAGCATAGTTCAAAATCCAAGGTTCTAAAATTAAACACTGATTAAAAAAAACACCCTAGTTTAAATACTATATAATGGTATTATCATCTGGTATTCTCTGAAGACTCTATACAACAACCTGAGCAATCATTCTGGAAGCACAGGATTCTGGAAGATTTAGAAAAAGCCCCATGCAAGTCTCACTTCCTGAACACAGCTGAAGGACTACACAATCTATGTTTTCATGCCAAGACAGAACAACCCAGCTAAGGCAACTGCCCATGCAGACTTTACGTTGGGGCCCTCTCCCAGCCGCTGTCAGCACTAACTCTATATAAACAATCGATCCCAGGAGACAAAGGAAGCCTCTCTGCTTCCGACCTGGCTCTGCTCTTACCTGGTGCAGTCCCACTCTCGCTCTGCAGCAGCGCTCCTGTCACTTGTGCGTTGTTGTTTGGGTTTGCTCCAGGTGCTGTGCAGGGAGGAGGCCCCGCCCCACCCCCGAGGAGCATGCAGGACGGCGGAGGGGGCTGCCCACGTTTTAGTAACACTTTGTGGTCCTGCTGGCAACGGAATCGCGGTGGCACCTCCCGAGGCATGTAGCGGGCGGCGCTTGGCGGTTGTCCGTTCGGCACTGCCACCCTTTTGGCATTGTTGCCACCATTGACTGGTGGCGATGGAGAGCTGCCAATTGGGCTGGCGGCCGTTGGTTGGCTTAAACTTGGTTTCGTCACTTCGGGCACTGAAAGACACAGGAATTGGGAAAGTCTTTTAAATTAAATACATTTTTCTAAAGTATGTTTTTAAGAAAGTTTACATTTTGTTCTCAAAGGACAAGCTTTTAAAAATTCCTGTAGGATGGATGCTCACTTTACTAGGGTAGGAGTGGTGGTAGCAGGTGACTGTGATAAAAAAATCGAAAAACACCTATCTTATTATTTAAGTGGGGGGAATAAAGCAGCCATCACTCACTGCACCAAATCCTGGAAGGTACAAATGGTTGTAGCCAAGTACTCAGTAGCCCAGAGGACTTTCCCTTCCTCTAATTTCTTAATTAAAAAACCGTATTTATTTATTTATTTACATAGATTTACTTTTCCCCCCTCTGAGACAGGGTTTATGTAGCCCTGGCTGTCCTCCAACTCTCTGCCTGCCTCTGCATCCCAAGTGCTAAAATTAAAGGTGTGCACCACCACACCACCTCTGTATTTACTTTTTGTTCTGTGTGTACACATGCTATGGTAAACATGTGGAGGCCATAGGTCAACCTGAGGGAGGTGGTTCCTTCTATCATGTGGGTCCTAGGACTGGAACTTAGGTTGTCAGCTTTACTCTCTGGGCTACCTTGTAGACAATCATCCTATTTCTTTGAAGACCTCTGTGAACTTCTTCTGAAGTTCCTGACTAGGCACAAGAAGCACACTTTGCCCACGTTCTGAATTATACTGAATTATACATACTGAATTATATTTAAAGCCTCTACTTACAGACCTCTCTCTCATTGGCCTTAAGCTCCTCAAGAACAAAAAACCATCATTCATTCTCCTCTCTGGAGAACAGATACAGAACTGGCACCTACAGAGGACTACCAGCCTAGAGGATCACAATATTCCACAGGACTTTGGTTCCTACAGCTTCCTGCTGGACACAAGGTTTATCTGTGACTTTTTTTTTTGTTTTTTGGAGACAGGGTTCCTCTGTGTAGCCCTGACTGTCCTGGAACTCACTCTGTAGACCAGGCTGGCCTCGAACTCAGAAATCCACCTGCCTCTGCCTCCCAAGTCTGGGATTAAAAGCGTGTGCCACCACTGCCCGGCTCTGTGACTGTTTATATAAAATATTAGAAATCTTTTATCTTTTATTTCTAAAATATCTGTTTTAGCTCTTTCATTGACATAAAATGTCAAACAGTACAGAAATGTGCATAGCAGCCCTGAAATCACTACACCCTGGTGGACCTGCTGGCTCCCAGCTCAACCCTGACTACAGAGGTTTCTACTCTCCACTTCCTATCTTCATCTTAGCAAAAGACCACCACTGGGTATTTCTCTTTTATAAACTCAGTACTCATTGAACAATAGTTTTGAATACTTTCATCAAACAAAACAAAACAAAAACCATCCATTCCTCCCAAGAAAATCTGCCCAGCACACTGAGACTGGCAATACTACAGGAATAATCTGAGGCCCAAATTCCTGCCAAGCAACTGTGGTAGCAGTATTGCTTTGACTGCTGAAATGATGCTGGGCCAGCATGTTGCCATTTAACTGCCTCCTTTATGAGGAGAAAGATACATCATCAGAAAACAGGGGCCCAGACTAGCCACCACGGGGCACTACTGAATACTGTGAGTGACAGGAGAAAAGAATAGTTGGCTCAAGTAAGTTCCAGGCAACTCATATGTCTATTCTTAGCCAATCACAAGACAGTACTGGCCTCCAGTAAAAGGGTGGTGGCTGTAATGTGATGGGCAGAATAAAAACTTAAACCAGTTATTGTCTAATATTAACACAGTTCCGTCCGCAGAACATATAGCAGAAGATGGACAAATAACTAGTAAATAGTTGTTTCTGGAATATTCCACATCATTTACTAATCTTCTTTTCTCTTATGAGAATAAAGCTGGGTAGATTCTTTCCGGCTCGTTTGTGATGTTACCCTTCTATAAATGGGTTAGGCGCTCTAAGTAAAGTTGGCCACATGGCTTAACTCTCTTTCTTAAAGAAGACAACGACAGAGCAGCCTAATGAGAGTAAAGGTCTGACTAACTTTATAATATACACAGCTGCTTCAACCCCAAACTGTGGTTGGTGCTGTGCACTGTGCCAGAATCCTTGTACCACCCCTTGTGGCATTTTCTTCCAATCATATCAAAGACAGGACGGCCATGGTAAAAGGAGCATACAGCTCCACTGCTTTTCTTCTCCTGTGGTGCTCGCTCTAGAGCTCAGGTGCTGAAAATTCCAGGGCTTAGTTAGAAAAGCTAATTGTGCTGGAGAGCCTGGCCAGAGTCTTGATTTTTTTCTTTATTATACTTCTCTATGAACTTTAAACAAACAAGAGACAGCAAGATGGCTCAGTAGGTAGAGGTGCTTTAAACCAAGCCTAAAATCCCTGAACCCACATGCTGGAATGAGAGAGACGACTATTGCAAGTTGTCCTCTGACCACACATCCACACATAAGTAAATGTAAACATAAAACACTTTAAAGGCAAGCAAGACTCTTGACATCTACCAGAGATGAAGCAATTGTTAGGCAGAATTTTAAAGTTCCATATTCAAAGGTAAGATGTCAGAATTGGTGTCCGTCTGGATGTGTGAGCTGTCAGACAGAGGCTATCAGGCCTGGGTGTCTTGCCTTTCAGGCCTTTTCTCAGTGTTAATGATTTGTAGGCTGAAGCATAAATAGTACTAAAATGAGCTACTTTCGCCACCAAACTATGTTTATTTGGTTCAAAAGCCTCAAGGCCTCAGTTTCTTTGCCAGAGAGTCTATGTAGGTATTAGGGAGTGGTGTGGCTGCCTGGCTTCTGACCCCTGGATTCGATCCCACCAAAACAACAAAACAAAAGAAAAAACAAAGTCTAAACTTTAAATAAACACAGTCTCTGATCACAGGAAATGAAAACACTGTAAAATACTGGGTGTCGTATTTTCTAATTTCTACTCATGTACCTTTAAAAACTACACTCTACTGACTCAGTCTTTCCCACTCCCACTTTATCTTATACCACTCTCTGACACTCTCTTATTTTGCTTTTCAACTTCTAATTGTCCTCATTTCTGAAAGTATAAGCCATTTTTTTACTCAGGAAAAGTTTTCTTTAAGAAATGTCTGAACTTGCCAAGCTTCTGAATCTGTGTGAGACCACACAACTGCACTTGCTACCACTTCCTTCATCTTAATGGGAGCCCCCTTCATCTACATACATTTGTAAAAGGGCTAGGGATAAAGTTCTGTGGTGAGCAAGAGGCTCTAGATTCAATCCCCAGTACCAGAAAACCAAAACTAAACTAAACAAAAACAGTTAAAACCATAGAAAATATACTATTTTAGGTTGGCAGTTTAAAAATCTCAAAGCCTGACCTATGCACATAGGTGAGTAGCCCATATTATGTGATTCTCAGTGACCCTACCACTGTGTCTACTTCTTCACCTTCCATTCACACACTGGCTTCTGCACTCACTATCTCCCTCCCCCAGACACCAATGTCTTCACTGCCAGCCTAGAGAGCGTGCCTGCAGCTCCTGACTACTGGCTCTTCTGAGATTTACTCTGGCCAGCTCTTTATTTTTCCTCATTCCCCTTCGGGGTCTACCACACTGTGGAGCAAGGGTTAAACAGTGGACACTCAATGGACATAGGTTTCAGTTTCAACAAATCAACTGTGTACTAGGAGACTGAAAGCAGCCACAGAAAGTGGCTGTGCTTCAAGACTTTAAGGACAGTGAGCCAGGAATTTTATATTGTCAGACACTGTTCTTTGAAACAACTAAAAAAAAATAAAGTTTGTTCAGAGGTAGTATAAAAATAAGCAGCAGGTCAGATTAGGCTTGTAAGACACAGTAGCAGCATCTGCTTTTAAACACCCTTTTAGTTATAATTCCAAAATAGTAGTTAATTTGGCCATTAGCTACTGTGGATGTACATACCACATTCGAAACAGGGCTTTATTCCGAAGTTTTATTTAGACCAGTTTGCAACTCATAACCATCTTCCCACCTCAGTCTCTCCAGTGCTGAGTAGGATAACAGGTACGAGTCACCACACCTGGCATTGAGTTTATGTCTACTTTTTAAAAATTACATTTATTCATTTGTGTATGTGTGTGGGCACATGCAGGACACTGTGTGAGTGTGGCAAGCAGACGACAACTTGCAGAAGTCAGTTCTCTCCATCTCTCCATAACAAACAGGTGGGGCCTGCCTACTTCTCACTTTGAATTACTTAGAACAGACTCTTCTTCAGAGGCTTTACACCGTGTAACTGTTTGCCCAACCGTTATCTCCACATTAGGTCTCTTTTATCCTTTCCCTTCCCCTCAAACTTGTTCCCCAGCCCTAAGCTCCATTATCTCCTAGCACAACGAAGGCATCACCCAACTTGATAGAGGTGTTTAGGACATCTGTCCTCACCCGACACTCCCGATTCCCCAGGACAGAGCTGAGCTCTCCTCCCACCTCTTTATCAGCAGTTCTATCCAGGCATGGTCCATTCTCCTTCCCTCCCACATGAAAACTCTGTGCTCACTTCTATCTGTGCGTGCTTTCTGACAGCTCATATCCATTCATCCTAGAGATACGAGCTCTCTCTACTTCCCTATTTACTGGTGTGCGTATATAGTATTGATGTGAGAGAGATTACATAGGCTGCCCATACCGCAAAATGTAGATGTCAGAGGACAACTTCTAAGTTTGTTTTTTCTTTCCACCATAAACCTAGGGATCGAACCTGGATCATCAAGCTTGAATGGCAAGTACTTTTACCCACTGATTCATCTTACTGCCCCTAGTTCCATTTCCAATCAAATGTCCCCACCTGTTAGAACACACAAGTACCTCTAGTAAGAGGCCTTACAGGTAGGCTAAATTATCTGACCCACTGTCACGCACTCACTCACTATATATGCTTCTTGGAACAGATTCAGAAGCCAGTGTAGTAAGATGACCTACAATCCCAGATATGCTGATGGGAAATGCTTTCCTTCTGATGTATGCCAATGAAGTATGGGGCAAAGCTATGATTTAAAGCTTTGAACCACAGTCTCTAAAAACTGGTCCACTGAGTTGCAAGTTTTTCTACTTCTTTGACTCAGCGTTGGCATTTCTGGGATCAAAATAAGCCTCACAGGAAACAAAAACAAAGTGGATATTTCCTGTGGACACGTTCAATTCTAGCTACCAGAGCCCTATCTGAGGACCCCCAGTTAGGAAGACATGAAAGCTATACACCCTGTGTATTTAAGGCAGTCTGAAAAGATAAATTCCTTGGCCAACCTGACCCAAACTGTGCATGGTCCATGGAAGTTTCCCCTTCCATACTGATGTCCATTACAGACCTGCAATTCCCACCCAGGATACTTTCTAGCAGCTAAAGGTCAGTTAGTTTTTAGTCACTCACTGCACACTGATAGCTCTCATTAAGCCAACCATTGTCCTACAGCACCCATTAACAAGGCTAAACTGTTATGGCCAAACTCTGCCATTATGTAGTTTGTGTAATTGAGCTTTCTAACCTTAGCCTAACCTCCCTGTTAAGTTTCACCTTAACCTGAGCTATTGCATGATTCTGGAAACCATTTTGCTTCTGTCTAATATCCATAAAAGACAATCTAAACTTTTGCCTAAGTCCCTCTTTTTAGCTGAGTAGTATGCACAGGACAACCTCATAGAACTTCAAATTGAAACCCCTGTCCTACTCTCCTCTCTGGAATTCTGACCTGTACTGGCTGGGTTTTGTGTCAGCCTGACACAAGCTAGAGAGGAAGGAGCCTCAGTTGAGGAAATGCCTCCATGAGATCTAGCTAAGGCATTTTCTCAATTAGTGATCAATGGGAGAGGGTCCAGCTTATTGTGGGTGGCGCCATCCCTGGGCTGGTGGTCCTGGGTTCTATAGGGTAGGTTAAGTAAGCTACAAGGAGCAAGCCAGTAAGTAGCATTCCTCAATGGCCTCTATATCAGCAGCTCTTGACTCTAGGTTCCTGCCCTGTGTGAGTTTCTGTCCTGACTTCCTTCAGTGATGAACCGCAATGTGGAAGTGTAAGCTGAATAAAGCCTTTCCTCCACAACTTGCTTCTTGGTCATGGTGTTTTGTTGCAGCGATAAAAACCCTAACTAAGATATCACCACACTGTTTGTAATGGTGGAAGATAAAGGAAGAACATAAAACCAATCTACTGCTTTTCTGAAATACAGAAAAATCTTACTTCAGTCCTTGTACAACCCAAGACTTGGCACCAACACAGTCTTTTCTTTTTTCTCTGCTGGGGAAAGAGTAGATTCATAGTTAAGGGAAGATCACTTAAGGAAGATAACTATTGTTGGGGAAAGGCACAGGAACCAGAAATGTCAGCTCAGGGAGAAGAATGATAGATAAAGACTTGACCAAGGAAAATAATAAACCTAGCAAGGCTGGTGAGTCTGACATACCTCAAGTTATAAATATGTATATGTTTGTCTTTTTTAACTTCCTGTCTTCTCCTGGGAGACCTGAGTTACACTCTCAGCTCCTTTAGGATTATGTGACTTGATTTTCTGATTGAGGAAGTAGGAAGAGTAAGGACATAGAGAAATGAATTTCATCTACAACAGGCATGAAAAAGACCCAAGTAGAAAGGTGTGCACAGGAAGAAAAGCCGGATTTCTCTTTCTCTCTCTCTCTCTCTCTCTCTCTCTCTCTCTCTCT